CTGTATGCTAAGTCAGGCCTTGTGTGACAAAGGTATCAAAGTGACCCAATAAGTCTTCTATATTGGGTTGGGTCGACATCATCTGAATCTGAATATTTCGACAATTGCAATATGGTATCAGCTGGAGTCGAAGTTTGGTTGCAACCTTGCATATAAAATCTCTTGAGTATTTCGCCTACATATCTTCTTTGGTGCATCATCAAACCTCTACCAATTTTGTAGAATTCGATGCCAAGGAAATATGAGAGATTTCCCAAGTCTGACATTTCAAACTCCTTACTTAGGTCCTGTTTAAAATCTTTGATCTCCTTCTTGCATCTTCCTATTATCAGCAGGTCATTGACATAGAGACATAGTATAATCAATTGACTATTGTTTCTCTTTACATATACTCCATGCTCAGTTGTGAACTTCACAAATCTCTTCTCCCTTAGAAAGTTGTCGGTCTTCTTATTCCAAGCTCTTGGAGCTTGCTTAAGTCCATACAAGGCTTTATGCAACATATACACATTTATTTCTTCGCTTTGTTTCACAAACCCAGCTGATTGTACAACATAAAAATTTTCATTTAAGGGTCCATTCAGAAATGCACATTTCACAGCCATCTGACATGTGTGCCAATTGTTCATGTTTGCTAGACCAACAACCAACCTGATTATTTTGATCCTAGCAACAGGTGAAAAAATTTCGTCAAAGTCGATTCCTTCCTTCCGAATAAATTCTTTCACCACAAGTTTTGCCTTGTGTCGAGTTACTTCTTCTTTAGGATTCACCTTCACCTTGTAAACCTATTTCACATCAATTGCCTTATTTCCTTGAGGCAATTCGACAAGTGACCAAGTGTTGTTAACTTCGACGGACTCTAGTTTCTCATTCATTGCTTTCACTCACTTCAAATCTTTCAATGTATCAGTTGCATTGACTGGTTCGACATCTTCATAGAAAGCATAGTGTACCAACTCACCTTCTTCATCGACCATATCATCTAATATAATTACACATTCTTGCAACCATGCATGTATATGTCTTGTTCGTCGAGGTCTTCTTGGGTCTGCTTCACCTATGACTTCTTCTTATCAAACTTCTCTTTCGACTTCACTAACTGGTTCTTCACATAAGATTATCACTGAATCCTTCTTAACATTCTCAGTCCAATCCGATTCCTTAAGCTAATCTATGATCACGTCCCTGTTGATCACAACTTGCTTGTTCACTGGGTCGAACAACTTGCCCTCTAGTCGAATGATATCCTATTAGGATCATTTGACTCGACTTGTCATCAAGCTTTCTTCTCAATTGATCTAGCACATGTCTATGTGCTATAGATCCAAAGACCAACATTCTTCTGGTGTGATTCTTTCTAGCTTCTTCGTCGGGCATCTATTCAAGATGTATGTAGTTTTCGACACAGCTTCTCCCCATAATTTTTTGGATAGATACTTGTCTTTCAACATACTTCTCACCATGTTCATGATGGTTATATTTTTCCTTTCTACGATTCCATTCTGTTTGGAGTGTAGGGTGACACTAACTCATGCACAATCCATTCTTTCTCACATAATGCATCGAAATGTTTCGACACGCACTCTCCACCACCATCACTCCTCAGAATCTTTAGCTTTCGACCACTCTGTCTTTCGACCATATATTTAAAATTGGAAAATACCTTGATCACTTCACTTTACTTCGATCAGGTAAGTTCACAATTTTCGACTGAAATCATCTATGAATGTGACAAAGTATCTGCTACCTCCAATCGAATCCACCTGGATAGGAACACATACATCAAAGTATATGACCTCAAGAATTGTCTTCGATCTGCTTCATGCATCCTTGCTGAAGCTATTCTTCTGTTGTTTCGCCTGAACACATTCTTCACACACTTCGCTTGGAATGTCGATTTCTGGTAATCCTAAAACCATATTTATTCTCTTCAAATCTCTGATGTCTTTGAAGTTGAGATGGCCAAGTCGATATGCCATATCCATTCATCTCTGATGGATGCAATTGCAAGACACTTATGCTCAATCACATTTAGTTTAATCTTGAAGGTTCTATTCTAAGACATTGGAGCCTTCAAGATTAACCTACCACTTGAGTCGAGAACTCTCATCATCTTGTCTTTGATCGACACCTTACAGTTCTTTTCGACCAACTGCCTTATACTGAGCAAATTTCTCTTCATACCTGGTATGTACAACACATTGGAAATTACTGACCTCTTGCCATCTTTCCTCATAATTAGAACATCACAAATACCTTCAGTTGCTAGAGTATTGTCATTTACAAATTTCACCATGTTCTTCATTGAGGGCTTCATGTTGACAAATCAATCTTTCTTATCAGTCATGTGCGATGAGCATCCTGAGTCCAAGTACCGTTGCTCCTGAAATCTTTCTTCATCTCTTGTTGTGACCATCAACAACATCTCTTCTTCTTCATGTTCCGCCAGTTTTGCATCAGTTTCTTGATTTTTCTTCTTTTCTCGACACTCACTAAAATAGTGACCATACTTCTGACAATTGTAGCATTAAATGTGACTTTTATCGGTTTTCGAGCATCACCTCTTTCTCTACCTGCAGCACCACCTCTTGGATTGCCTTGGTTCCAGGGTTTTCTCTGATTCGACCAATTTCCTTCCTGCTGATTTTGACCAGTCGAATTGTTGTAGCCTCCTTTGTCTTTGTTGCCATTCCAACTTCCTTTGCATTTCTTTTCTTTTTCTGACTGCGCCTGGAAAGTCATATCACTCTTTAACTTTCCTGCAGCTCTTTCAGCCATCCTTTGTTCATGAGACTCAAGCATCTCTTAAAGCTATTCCTTCGTCAATATTGACAAGTCTTTTGATTCTTCTATGGCTACTACCATATGGTCGAACTTTTGAGCCAATGACCTTAAGGTCTTTGCGACAACTGATCTTGATGTCAACATTTTTCCATATAACTTGATTTGATTCACCAGTTTCGTAACCCTGGTGAAGAAATCTGTTATACTTTCACTTTCTTCCATTTGAAGCAATTCATGGGTTCTCTTGTGAGTTTGTAACCTCACATTTTTCACCTTCTATGTTCCTCCAAACGACTTCTCCAGAATTTCCCACGCTTCCTTCGCTAACTCTACATTACTAACCTTTTCAAAGTTATCTGGATCAACACATTGATGAATTATAAAGAGAGCTTTATAATCTTTCTTCTTCAATTCTTTGTTTATAACCTTTTCTTGATTCATCGCGTTTTTTACAAGCGGTGTTACCCATTCCTTCACAAGATCTCAAAGATCTTGATAACAGAAAATCACCTTAATCTGCTTGCACCAATTCTCATAATTATCTTTCTTGAGAATCAGAACGTTCGCCGAAAAGTGCCTGTTTGGATGATTCACCGCCATCACGATTTTTCTTTCTTGAATCACAACCGGAGCACTAGATACTAGATGTTGGAATTCGATCACAACCTATGGTGAATTCTCTCAATCTTGTTGAACAATATTGTTATCAATCACGCAATGACAATGAAAAGAAAATGTTGAGAAAGAAAGAAAATAACAATGTTGGAGAAGAAGAAGAATATTTTCTGCAGAGTTTCTCTCTGCCCACAACCTGTGAAATACTTCTTTATTCATTTGCAACTGCAAATTCTGTGAATACAATGTTATGAGTTATGAGAGTTGTATACAAAATAAGGGTTACTCCCTATTTATAGATTTATGTTAGCTTACATCCTAAGTCAAAATCATGTGTGAAGTAACCTGCTTCGACACACTAATGCAACTCGACACATAGATATTTAGGCACAAAGAATTACATTCGTAACATTTAACAAGACACAACTTTAAATAAAAAAAATTTTAAAACACATAATCATGTTATTTAATGATTAAAATATGTTTGTGACGTGTAATTCATAATGCAATAATATTATTTTGCCACGCGAATTCCACTTTTCAAAAAATAAATAAATAAATAAATAAATATAGTAGTTATTAGAATGAGATGGAGGTGGATAAGTATTAATTTGACGACTATTTTAGGTATATATGCAGACAATGCAATTAATCTTCCACTAACAGATTTAATGAGTACAATATATGTTTGGTAATGCGACATAAATTCATATTTTTTCTATCCTTCTTAATATTTTACAAATCCCAAATTTGTACCTTTTTTAGAAAAAAAAAACTTTTTTCAGTAGTGAAGAATTTTCAGAAAACCTCTAGCTCATAAAGTAGATATTATTTCAATTAGTTTTTTTACATACATACTAAAATGTATTTAGAAACAGCAGCTTTGCTGAAACCATTTTTTTTCACTCTTTATCGTATTTATACGGTAAATAGTATTTTTATTAAAATAATTTTTTTTTAAATATTTTTATTATTTTTTTAAATATTTTTTTTAAAATTTATTTTATAACACAAATATAAAATTGTATCATTAACGAACCTCACAATAATATTAACCACAAAAATCTACATCATTAACCAATTACTTTTACACATATTTCATTAACTATTTTCACTAATTCATTAACCAATAAAATACATATTATTAACGATGTTCTGAGACTAAATTATAAATATATATATAATATTAACAAAAATCTGAATAATATATATATATATATATATATATATATATATATATATATATATATATATATATATATATATATATATATATATATATATATATATATATATATAAAATATGTATTAACCAAATTTTAATATTTTATTAACCAAACTATTTTTAAAGAAAAATATATTACAAAGTCAAAATAATATAAAATTACTATTCACGTTTGTGAATAGTGAATTGGGTATAGTGTGATTCTTTGGTGTAAAAATAACATTTTTCTTTTAAATAAATTCTAATCAAATACACACTTTAACTTCTTATTTCCTTCCCCTATAAATGGGAAGGTTTCAATCCAATTCCAACCAACAACCCTTTTGCTTTCATTACATTTCATTCATTTTTCAACTGTATTTCACTCATATCCATGGCTCAAACAACACCAAATCACACACAAACTGTTTCTGGCTGGGCAGCTCATGATTCTTCTGGCAAGATTACCCCATACACCTTCAAAAGAAGGTAATAATCAATTTTTTTTTCATATGCTATATTCTACTAGTACTTTTTTTCATATTGAAACTAACAACTTTGTAATTTGATATATTGCAGAGAAAATGGTGTTACTGATGTAACTATCAAGATTTTGTATTGTGGAATTTGTCACACTGATATCCATCATGCTAAAGATGACTGGGGCATTACTATGTACCCAGTTGTTCCCGGGTAATAATCACCGTAAACTCACACACATATCCATCAAAAAAAAGACTCGGTCTAGCAATATCGATATTCATCAGTTAGATCTTACCACCATATATATGATGATTTTGATTGTCTTGTATTTTATGTATAGGCATGAGATAACAGGGGTTATCACTAAGGTTGGGAGTGATGTATCAGGATTCAAAGAAGGAGAGAGAGTTGGTGTGGGGTGTTTGGCTGCTTCATGTTTGGATTGTGACTTTTGCAAAACAGATCAGGAAAATTACTGTGAAAAGTTGCAGTTTGTTTACAATGGAATTTTCTGGGATGGTAGCATTACATATGGTGGTTACTCACAAATGTTGGTGGTAGATTACAGGTATTTTTCTATTAATATGCAAAAACACCTTAAAAAAACGATGTGTCTTGTGTCAGGATCGGGCACCTGTATTTTTCTGTTTAAGTTTGAATTGTCATTGTTCCGTAAATTAATACATTTAGCTTGAAGAATTTCTTAAAATGAAGTAAAAAGGGGAAAGGAACTTTTAAGTCCACCGAAATGGTTGTTGAAGATGTCTTAGATTTTTCTTAATACTAGTACAATTCACCAGCCAAATAAAAATAAAAACAATAAAAATTAATAAATTGTCTTCTAATAGAGACAGATTCCGAATCTTTCCTTATTCTATTTATGCTCCATTTATTAATTACAATTTTATATTAAACATAAAGAATAGAGATGTTCAAAAATGTCGGCTAATAAACCAAACATCTCTAAAAATTTGCAAATTATTTTAAAATTATAGTACTAATAATATTCAATATGAAATTTTACATTGACTAAAGATTATGAAATTTTGATGTGAAGATATGTAGTACACATTCCAGAGAACTTACCAATGGATGCAGCAGCACCATTATTGTGTGCTGGAATAACAGTGTTCAGTCCTTTGAAAGACCATAATTTGGTATCAACACCTGGGAAAAGAATTGGTGTGGTTGGTTTGGGAGGACTTGGTCACATGGCTGTTAAATTTGGGAAAGCTTTTGGTCACCATGTTACTGTCATAAGCACTTCTCCTTCCAAAGAAAATGAAGCCAAGAAACGTTTGGGAGCTGATGATTTCATAATCAGCACTAACCCCGAACAATTGCAGGTTTGTAAACTTACATCTGAACAAGATAATGTCTGGTGTCTGAAATACATAATTGTCGAATTTAATACTATATGGATATGATTGATACTATGTCACACTTTTTATGTGGTCTAAAATATTTTATGAATTTGAACATAAATATAAATTACATTTATTAACCATACAGACATTTTACCATATGAACTCAAAGTTGTGATTTTTTTTTACAGGCTGCAAAGAGAAGCTTAGATTTTATTCTGGACACTGTATCAGCAGATCATGCTCTATTGCCTATCTTAGAATTGCTCAAAGTTACAGGGACTCTATTTCTCGTGGGCGCACCGGACAAGCCACTTCAATTGCCTGCTTTTCCATTGATTTTTGGTAAAACTAACTTTCATGATCATAAATTAAGTATTTACACATTTGGTGCATTCTTGATCAAGATGAGACATACATATTAAAAAAATACTTAACTTTAAATGTGCTGATTGCGTAAATGTGTGAAATTGTCACCAAAAGCAATCCTAATTCTAAGCATTTGAGTGTTTAGTTTATTAGTTAATAAATCCAATTTGTTGTTGTTACTTGTTAACAATATTACAGGGAAGAGATCCATAAAAGGTGGGATCATTGGAGGAATAAAAGAGACACAAGAAATGTTGGACGTTTGTGGAAAATTGAATATAACATGTGACATTGAGTTAATCAAAGCTGATACAATCAATGAGGCTTTTGCTCGTCTTGTGAAGAATGATGTTCGCTACCGTTTTGTCATTGACATTGCTGATGCTTTTGCTACCACAAAAGATATCTAAACACTTTATTTGGGAATGATATAAGGATGGTAGCTATTTTGTGATTGTGTTTTGTTTCTTGTTGTGAGACTGAATTCATAAATCAGCACCACTTTTTGATTAGTCTGGTTTAATAAGATTAGTTACCCTACCTGATTTCATAGTTTAGTAGGATTGTTTACCATCAAATTTCTATCATGGATATTATTTACTTTAAGAAAAAAATTCAAATAGGTAAGCCTTTGGAGTAGCTGTTGAATCTGATGAATGTGGTTGAACAATTAAAACTCGGTTACCTACCTACTTCTATGGGTTCAGCTTTTCACATTGAAATATGCAATAAATTTTATTTTAGTCTTATTTTCTCATTCTCTCTCTTAATAACATTCTTTTTTTAATATTTATTTTAGTTTTTTTTTAAATTTATTAATCATGTATATTATATTATGTCACGATAATTAGAGTGATTTCAACAAGGTTATCACTTCAAATTTGAATTTAGTATCTGATACATGTGGAATTGTTGCAAGTGTAAAGTTCCTGCAAGATATCACTTTGAAACTGAAGTCGGTATCTAAAAGAGGTGGAACTATTGCAAGTCTGAGTGAATGAATATCTAGACGTGATTTAGAGTCAAACTTATTTAGAGAAGTCAATTAGAACCGTTTTCGATTGATTCAATGTAGAGTGTGGAGGATCTTTGAATGTAGATCAACGACCAAGATAAAGAAGGATGTCGTGCTCTTATGTGATGCTCCAAAATAGAGGTTCGCCTTTGGCCATCCTTGATTAGTTGCGCCTAAGCCCTTGCTATCAACTATGGAGTAAGGAATGTTGATGTAAAAGTATTTGAGATGAGTTTATGTATAAGTTCCATTAAAGGGGTGACTTTGTTGAGAACGTGTTACCGACAAGAGATGGGGCCATGTTGAGACGCCGAGAAATGCTAGTTTACATTGGGAACATGTGCGTTTAATGCTCATCATGTAGACAAAACGTTGCTTCGGTCGAGGCTTCCACACACATCCAAGTGTGTAGGGTAGGGATGTGACGTGCATATGTGTATTCTAGTGCATTTGGGTGTGTTGATGGATTTAAGATTTCATCTTGACTGTTGTCTATGATCATCAATATTTTGTTGAATCGTGGCATTTAGTCTAAGCGCCCTTTGTGCCTATAAATTGAGGACTTAAACTCTAGTTATAATTTTTGTGCTTTTTCTTTGTTCTTGAGGAGGTGAGATGATGGTTAGAGGAATGATTAAGATGTAATATTTATAGGAAGGATTTTTTATCCGTGAACAATGATTAATATATGGGAAGGAAGGCGCCAAAAACACTTAATCTACTTGAGGATGCTACTGAACAACCTTGGGTCGAAGACACCACTATACTGACTTTATCCTAGTACAGTGATGATAGTAGAATGAAGTGTGCTTCCTAGGATGTGGGTCCGCCCTCAAATTGGTAAATGATCTTTTTAGGAAATGAAAAACGCTTTTGTAGTTGGTACGAAATGTGTAGAATGCCTCTACAAAATGTAAGGCCACAACAAATGGATCCATAAAACCTAATCAATCTCAGCATAACTCAACGCAATCATTATAATCGTATTGTTTTTTCACAATAATAATAATAAACAACAACAACTACAAATACTTGAAAACTATCACTACATTATATCTTAAGTCTAAAAACCATGACAATAAAAATAACTGTGAATAACAACATTATATTATACCCTAAGTCTTAAAAACCATGACAATAACAACAACAACAATAACAACGACAACAACAACAACAATTGTAACAACAACAACAACAACAACAAGAACAACAACAAGAACAACACTCTATGAGAGAGTTTTACATACCAAAGAAGATGTGAGAGTCGAAGAAAAATGTTGGTTAGAAGTTCGAATTTCCTTCCTCCTTGGAGAAAATAGTGTTTCAGTTTGTTAGGTTGAGAGAATGATGTTTCAGATGAAGAAAATTGCTAGGGCATAAAAAGTGAATGAAATATAACATTCCGATGATTGAGTAAAATATGATTTAGAGTTTACATCTCGATTCTTAGAAAAATCGAGAGAACAATAATGATGTAAAAACCGCGTTTAATTTGTTTAAACAAATATTAATCAACTTTTAATGTCAGGTTTTTAAACAACCAAAGGTATAAGACGATTAAAAAAATAAAGGAAAAATTTTGATTCTAAATAAAGCATAAATTTGCATCAAAGGTCAAACCCTGAGCTATATAACCTGTCGATTTTCAACAAAATCAAGGGATAAGATTAAACTTTTTTTTCTTCAAAATAATGACTCGTCTCGAATTTTCATAGACTAAAGTGAAAGTTTTGTCAAGAAATGTATTATTTGTAGTAATGAACCCCTCATTTAATATATAACTTGTCGAGTTAAATTAGAAAATAATAATGTGAAAAATTAAGTTATATTAGAAAACAACAACTTACATTGATCAATATTTTACAAGCTTTCTGCGACCCATCATGTGCATCTCGCTCTTTGACGGTTAGAATTTGTTTCTATACTTCTAATTCTTCAATCAACACTTTCTTTTTTACTAGTTTATTTTGCAAAGTCACTAGTACTTTGTAGAATGAACTAGTAGTGAAGGAAATGTCGGTTGAAGAGTTATAAGCATTGAACTAAATTCTAATTGTTAAAGAGAGAGAGACACGGATAATGGGTTGTATAAAGCTCGATAAATATTGAATAATGTAACTTGTTTTTCTAATATAACTCAAATATTCATATTATTAATTTTTAAATCAATTTAAAAGGTTATATATTTATGACAAAATAAGCATTTCACATAAATTATAATAAATTTAAATATACTTATCACAACTGTTATTAAATATAACAGTGGTAAAATATTGTACGCTAAGTCTTTAGCTATGATTATAACTTTCAATCATTGGTGAAATGTTAAAAAATTATCAAATTCTAGCACTAGGTATCGAACCATTGAATCCACATTTTATTTTACTAAAATTCTTTTTTACAACCGCATCAATATGTAACGCACTATTAAATTTTTACTATACTTTAAAAACTGTGTTGATAAAACTAACACATACTATCTTGCACGTATAATTAAAAAAAGGAAAAAACTTTTAACTTGATTAAATTAGTACCTAACATATGCAAGCATTATGGAAACCAACGTGGCAAACAAATATCTATTGGATGGAATTGTACCTCGACACTTGTACGTTGACATTTTTTTACTGCCAACTGTGCTCATAAATCTTTTCCTTTTATTTGTTGATATCTTACACACAACACAAGCACTTTCGTTATCAATTACTCCATAATAACGATCTTCCTTCCCTGGTGGTGTCTACATGGGAAAACACAGCGTCTCAGAGACACTAACTTGCGCGCAAAGTCATATATCTGTTTTTGTGGTCATATTAACTGCCAACTCGATTTTCTCTCTTTCCCCCTAAGCTACAACCACACAACACGTATACACCCACCTCTCTCTATATATTCTTCACACAATTCCTTCTTCCACTTTTAATATCAAACTTCGACTCTAAGCATATACAATTCTTTTCCATCAGTATTTTTCAACATGACATGTACTAGCTGGCTTTGTTCTCTTCGAACACCAGGTTAGTTTATATATATTCATTCTCACTTTCCTTCTAATAATAATAGATAATTTAATTACTTCATTAATATTTACTTCATATTATTAAACAGGTAGATCAGGGAGAGAACTTGATGAGGAAGAAAGCTTGTGCAGGAAGCCAAACGTAAATGAAGAATATCTCCAAACCTTTAGAACTAACTCTTATATCGAAATATGCAACAAAGCACAAGGGCAATTTGGGAACACAACAAGACTCTCTTCATCTCCTTCTCCTATATGCATGAATCTCACCGACTCTTTGCTCGAACCTCGACAAGAAATCATAACAAACATCACACGTAACTTTAAGGTTCATCAGCTTATAGTTGACTATTTTGAAGCTAGCTTAGACGCATGTCTTTGTTGTGACACAATCCTTGAAGGAATCCACACAACAAGACTTGCTTATACAAGACTCACACGATTTGTCAATGATTTCAATGATGGCAACAATGAAAAAACAAACACTACAAGAAAATATCAGAAAAAACTTGCTTTAGTTTCATCAAAATTACAAAACAATCCTTTGCCTGTTATTACTACAATGCAGCTTCATGACCTTCATGATAAGTACATTGAACTTCTTCGGAAACTAACATCAAAGAGAAAGAAAATCAAAAGAAGATTAACATTGATTGGTGCTTGCAAGAAAGTTGGAGGAATTGCCCTTGCTACTTCACATGGTGTTATTCTTATTGCTTTGTTAATTGTTTCTTTGCATAGCGTTGTTGGATTAGTGGCTGCACCAGGTATTGTAGGGGGTTTAGTTGGTTTGTTTATGAAGAGAATCAAAATTAGGATTAGAAGAAGTTCAAATTGTGAAAGACTTTGTCAACAACTAGATGCTGCAGCGAAAGGGGTATATATAATGATTAATGATTTGGATACTATGAGTAGGATGGTGAATAGGCTGAATGATGAGGTGGAACATAGGAAAATGGTTGCTGATGTTTGTGTGAAGAATGTTGGAAGTAAATGTGAAATACTGAAGCAGGTTATGAATGAGTTCAGTGATCATGAGAGTAGGTTTTTGGAGCAATTGGAAGAACTTGAAGAACATGTTTACTTGTGCTTTCTCATGGTAAACAAATCCAGAAGACTTGTTATGCAACAAATTATATAGACAAATAAATATATCAAAGTTGTGATTTTGATACTTGCTTGTTGTTTCAAATCGTTTTTGTTTAATTCATTTATTTCTACTTCTATGCCCTACAACATCAGTTTTAATTCTTTATCATAAAAGATTTTATTCATTCACGCAGTGATTGTTGAGATTAATTCATGCTTTTAGCTTAGAATAACTTATTAGTAGTTATGCTTAGTTTTCAATTTTTGAAACTTTGTAAAAAAATGTTATTGGTGTGATCATGACTATAAATAGTTCTTTTGTATCAATTACACTACTACTCAATTGTCAATCACTTAATTTGTACGCGTGTTTTAAAATTTCGACCTGTGATTGACATCAATTTTCCTTGGAGCAATTTAAACTATGAGTACCAAACCACCTTACTCTTTGATTTAGAGTTTAACCAATTAAAAATTATATAAGAACATGTCTAACCGTTGTTAATAGGAGTCGTTCTCATTGTCATCTATAAAAACGGTTTTGCACCGTTGTATAAAATTTACAAAAAATTATATAAGCTACCGCAACAAATTATATAATTAGTTGCCTATTACTCTCTACGAGAACAGTTTTATTACTTCCTGAAAATTAGGCGTTGCTATAAAGTAAAAATGTTGTAGTGTTCCATACAACAACGCAGTCCTTACTGCAGTCTCATAAAATTTTCCCTTTAACTTGAGTGATACCTAAGTGTCACATAAAATTCTTGAAACCCCCTCCATTTCAACCACGCATGAATTTGATATTACATCCCTACTATTTTTTCATCGTTTTGTATTATGAACCCAAAATATTTATACATTTCATATATTTTGCCTTACTTCTAATTAGGCGAAAGTCGTGCATTTAAAAATCCAACATATATTCATATAATACAAAAAGGTACAAAATATTTAACATATAGATATATGATTGTCCGACTCTGTTCCATCATCATGTCCAAATCCTAGCAATTTCCCATACTGCATGATAAAATAACCAAATAAGTGCATAGAAATTAAATAGCAATCATTCAAAAATAAAACACCAAATATAAACATTTACTCAATGTAACGTAACTAGAGAAACATAAACAATTCCTAACCTTATCATAAAAATCTTGTATCTCCTCTTCTGTAAGACATTCATCATCTTTATTGTCTTCCTCCCACCCAAGTGAGCGCATGAACGCAATTTCTTCTTCTTCTGAATTTAAAATAAAGTTGGTGCTACATTGTTGCTCTTCATCAGTTGAATCTCTAGATTCCAGAGTTGTGCAGCTAATGCCATTCTCAGTGCTTGCTTTAGATTTCTCCAAGACACGAGACGCATCTTTTGAGGCACTTTTTCTTGAGAGATTCTTAAGGAAATCTCTTCTACTCTGGGTTCGAAAAGTAGGTTTCTTCTCCAATGTCATCCATGCAAAAGGAGTTGAAATACTTGTACTACTAGAAGAAGCGGACGTAGCGTTGGACGTTGTGGTTAGCGTTCTACTTCCATTAAATCTCACGTTGTGCTTTGTGGCTAAAGATACACCGTTCAGCTCTCGCAAAGTGTTGAAATCATGGGAATTGCCAGAATGCGAAATGGGATGCCGTTGTGGGCTTGTCTTGACCTTCAACTTCCCCAAAGAGCTAGTAGCCTATAACATATACCAAAACAACTCTAATGAGATCATTTGAAATATACCAAAACAACTCTAATGAGATCATTTGAATTGTTTGAGATAAAATTGAAAAGTACACGACAATACATAGACACTGGATCAAGTTGTTCTTTATGCAGAGTTTTTCTCCACTATCATCACAAAATAATATATAGACTATAACACTCAATCAGTATATATGCTTTAAATTGTGGTCTGCACCCGCAATTACAACTGCAATTGCAGTGTGATTTAAAATCAGATGCGTGACTCCATCAAGAATCGCATCAGATCATTTTAGGCATGTTCTTTTGATTCATCTCACCAAAAATTAAAATATCAAAATTCTAAATCTCAATCTTAATAACTTTAACCGTCTCACAACTGTGAATTTCAAGCATTTTCTAATAAATATTCACGCCAAACCGTAATCGCAACACTTACAACCACAGTTTAAAACCAGCATTACTGACGCAACAAAATAAATTAATAGTAATCAAGGAGGAATATCTTTCTTAGCTATATTACATTAAAAGAAGCAGAAATAAAGAAAAAAAACATCAATACCATGGATCTTGGCAAATGCGGCATCATAGGGACTAATAACTGCGAATTCTTAAGAGCCATCTCCTCACGCTTCTGAGCACTTAAAGATAACTGCATAGCAAACAAAACATACCGCATTATAAATTACTATCGACATTTTACCAAATAACAACATAATGCTAACTAATCAAACTCACCTGCGAAGTTGATCCAGCGCCAAAATGCGGTGAACCATGAACCAATGTCTCAGCCATACTACGCCTCATTCCGCACGGAGCAACAGACGTGTCCACACCATTGTTTCCAACCGTCACAGGAACCTCGTGGGATGCCAAGGTAATGCCAGGTGAAGTGTTTGAGCTAGTCTTTCCATTCATTATTTGTGAATCACTTGAATCAAACCAATTTTGCACCATTTATCCAAAACTGTTGTATTGTATGATCTAAAGAGACTAAAAAACTTTTCCACTGTAACTCAATTGATGATCACTATAACTCAATTGATGATCTGAAACAGTGAAAAAAATACTTGAAATTATTACAACAATTCATAGTGGTTTTTCATAAAACCTAGAAATTGAAACAGACTATTTAACATTAATTCAATTCTGGGATAAAAAATAATAACTATCACAATTTGAAATATGATTCAATGACATGCGTAGTAGAAAATAAAACAACACATGTACCTGAGACCAAAATTTTGGCAAAGAAGTCACAAAGAATTGATAGAAAAACTTTGAATCATGCACATTAATAGTGATAGTGAAAGGGAATAACAATATAAGAGATATTTAGTAGGGCTTGTGCACATTAATAGTGATAGTGAAAGGGAATAACAATATAAGAGCATCTTTAGGGTAAACTAAATGGGTAAACTAAGATATTTTTTGTGAGTCCAAATTGTTTTGTATAATTTAAAAAATTTATAGTTGATTTGAGTAATAGTTGTCTATAAAATAATTTATGATATTTATTTATTATTTATGTAATAGTAATTATGTTATTTATTTATATGTGTTAATAATGTTTTTTTTATTGAATATCACTTATAAAATAATTTATGATTTAATTGAGAAAGAGAATGAAATTAGTAAACGCTTTGAATCTATAATTTTTAGTTTAACCTTAAATTTGTCATTCATCAAGAGGTTCATGATTAATTTAAATTGTTAAAAATTAAATTTCTAAAAAAACAATGATTTTAGAATGTTGGCGATGGATAATATCTTACACACAACACTCCATAATAATAGTGCAGCAAAGATGACATTTGGATATTTATTTATCCATAATCCATACCTTGGAAGGAGCTACGTAGGAGAAACCACAACGTGTCAAGTTTCAATAACTTGCGCTTAAAGCTAACAACATATATCCATTTTTGTGGTTATTCTAACTGCCAACGTAACTCCATTTCTTTCTCTTTTCTTTCTTAATTAACTCCTCCCTAAGCTACACCTATAGATACACAACACGTATACATACACCTTCCAATATTCTCTCTCTATATATATATTCTTGATTGGAGTCCAAGCAGATACAAAATTTTCTACATGACATGTACTAAATGGCTTTGTTCTTTTCGGAGATCAGGTTAGTTTATAGATTCAACTCTCACCTTCTTTCATTCTTTATCTAGCAAATGATGATATTGAAGTTCATTCTTTTGTGCAAATTAATTAAACAGGTAGATCACGAAAAGAATGCGACGACGAAGATAGCTTGTGTAACAAGCCAAACGTAAATGAAGAATATCTCCAAACATTTAGAACTAACTCTTATATTGAAATATGCAACAAAGCATCAAGACTCTCTTCCTCTTGTTCAACATTTTCTCCTTCTCCTATATGCATGAATCTAACCGACTCTTTGCTTGAACCGCGACAAGAAATCATAACCAACATGACACAAAATTTTAAGGTTCATCATCTTATAGTTGATTATTTCGAAGCTAGCTTAGATGCGTGTCGTTGTTGTGACATTATCCTTGAAGGAATTCACTCGACAAGACTTTCTTATACAAGAATCACACGAGTTGTTAAGCTGAGTAATAGCGCCAATGAAAAAACAAAGAAGGATAATATACACAAAGAGGTTGCTTCATTTCCATCAAAACAAGAAAACAACTGTTTGTCGGTTATTAGTACAATGCAGTTCCGTGACAGTCGCGATAGGTTCATTGAACTTCTTCAAAGACTAACATCAAAACGGAAGAAAATGAAAAGAAAATTAACATTGATTAGTGTGTGCAAGAAAGTTGGAGGAATTGCTCTTGTTACTTCACATGGTGCTATTCTTAATGCAGCCGCGAAAGGGGTATTTATAATGATCAATGATTTGGATACTATGATTAGGATGGTGAAGAGGCTGAATGACGAGGTGGAACATAAGAAAATGGTTGCTGATGTTTGTGTGAGGAATGTTGGTAGTAAATGTGATATATTGAAGCAGGTTATGGATGAGTTTAGTGATTATGAGAGTAGGTTTTTGGAGCAATTGGAAGAACTTGAAGAACATGTTTACTTGTGCTTTCTTACAGTAAACAAATCCAGAAGACTTGTTATGCAACAAATTATATAGAAACATTAATGTGATTTTGATAGCTGCTTATTGTGTTTGTTTAATTTCTTCATTTCTTCTATGTCCTACAACATCAATTTAAATTCTTTGTGGTAAGAGATTCTACGCATTCAGCTAGTGATTAAACAATTCTGATTTCAAATTCTATTTTTTATCTTTAAAAGAAGTTAAAATCTACAATAAAATGTGAATCACATTGTTTTGATCTAACATTTATATTCATCAAAAATCAGAATTCCAATAATATAGAAGAAAATGACGTGTATCCATATAGTATTGGTGTATCATAGAGAGATTTATATTTTTATATTTTATTGTAAGCTTTTATCATACATAATTCTATTTATAGAGTTTTGTAATGCACCATCTAAAACGTGGAGTTTTATCGGAAAAATCATTCAAGTATTAATATATATTTTTTTGTCAAAATACATTATTGGAAGAATCTTTTGATAAATTTGAACATATATCACGAGGTAAATTGAGAAACTCCTAATATGTTTTCTTAATTCGTCCTACAAAAATGTAGAGATTTATCAATAACGTTTTATCAATAATTTATTTAAACAAAAAATAATCTACAAAAAGGATGTTTATGATAGTGAAAATGTTATACTCAAAATTTGATGATTTGAAAAGACCCTCGATCGAGATCAAATGAAAGGGCTAAGCAATTATGGAGAGATAGTTTAGAAGCAAATTAGACGAAACGATATGTGTACATTAAACATGCAGAATGGTAATATAATTAAGGGACTATAAAGTTCATTTTTATCATAAGTAACCATAAACATGTCAATATTCCTCGATCAAGACCATGAATTGCGCACACTGTTCCTCAAATACAGTATGGTTTTTAACCCTCCTATTGGCCTTTCCTCAAAAAGGACTCAGGACCATGCCATTCCCCTTGTTAAAGGTAGTAACCCTGTCAAAGTTAAACCGTACCGCTATGCTCATAGTCAGAAACCGCAGATTGAGAAAATGGTCCTGGAAATGTTACAACATGGTATTATACAGCCAAGTTCTAGCCCATTTTCATCACCAGTATTATTGGTCAAAAAGAAGGACGGGTCGTGGAGATTTTGTACCGACTATAGGTCTCTAAACGCTATCACTATAAAGGATAGTTTCCCTATTCCTACCGTGGATGAGTTGCTTGACGAGTTGTTCGGTGCTGCTTATTTTTCCAAGTTAGACTTTTTGTCCGATTACCATCAAATCTTGGTTAGGCCTGAAGATCGTCACAAGACTGCCTTTCGTACTCACCAAGGGTGTTATGAGTGGCTAGTAATGTCATCCGGTTTGACTAATGCACCGGCTTGGTTCCAAAGCCTTATGAATCAAGTGTTTCACCAACAACTTCGTAAGTCAGTGTTGGTATTCTTTGACGATATTCTGATATATAGCCCGTCGTGGCATGCTCACTTGTTTCATTTGGAAGAGGTCTTGCAGCTCTTACAGGAACATTCCTTGTGTGCTAAACTATCCAAGTGTTGCTTTGGCCTTACACAGATTGACTACCTAGGCCATACCGTTTCAGGACAAGGTGTTGCAATGGACCGCTCGAAGGTGCAAGCAGTGCTTGAGTGGCCACGACCTTCTAATCTGAAGAAGGATTCATTCCTTTGGAATGACAAAGCTGTTGCGGCATTTGATAATCTGAAACGAGCATTAACAGTTGTGCCTGTTCTCATTTTATCAGATTTTTCCAAACCCTTCATTTTGGAAACGGACGCATCCGGATTTGGCATTGGAGCAGTACTGAGCCAGGCCAAACATCCCATTGCTTTCTTCTCCAAAAAGCTGAGCCCAAGGATTCAAAAACAGAGTGCCTCTGTGCGAGAGCTATATGCTATTAGTGAGGTTATTTCCAAATTTCGCCACTATCTCATCGGTCATACATTTATCATACGCACTAATCAGAAGAGTCTCAAATCTTTGACAGAACAGTCTATTCACACTCTTGAACAAAAAGCACGGCTTCACAAATTTTTGGGCTATAATTTCACCATTGTGTACAAGCCGGGAAAGGATAACATTGCAGCGGATGCCTTGTCCCGTTCCTTCATGCTAGCCCTTTCCTCCACACATTCCTCACTGTTGCAATAGATAAAATAAACAGGGATAACAGATGATATATATGCGTCCACCTTACAGCAGTGTATTCAGGGCTCACCACCGGAAAATGCATATTCCCATAAGAACGGGTTACTTTACTGGAAGGACAGGCTCGTGATACCTACAGCGCCTGACCTGATTAATTCTATACTTCAAGAATTTCACAGCTCTCCATTAGGAGGCCATTCTGGAATTACTCGTACCAAAGCACGCATTACTGCTCAATTTTTTGGTCAACTCTGCACAGAGATGTCACTGCTTTCATCTCAAACTGCCCATCTGTCAGCAAGTTAAGACTGCTACCACACTACCTCCTGGCTTGCTCCAACCACTTCCTATCCGCTCACAAATTTGGAAGATGTGGCAATGGATTTCATTACAGGACTTCCACCCTCGGTTACACCGTTCTACTAGTGGTCATTGATTGCCTTTCCAAATACTGTCACTTGATGCCTTTGAAGAGTGATTACTCGAGCCTATCTGTAGCTCAAGCTTTTATGCATTCAGTTTTCAAACTCCATGGTTTCCTCAAGAGTATTGTGTCAGAGCGTGACAAAGTATTTCTCAGCAAGTTTTGGCAACATCTTTTTCGATTAAGTGGAACCACTCTGAACATGAGCTCTGCCTATCATCCGCAATCGGACGGTCAATCAGAGGCACTTAACAAATGTGTAGAATTGTACCTCTGTTGTTTCACCGCATACAACCCACAACATTGGTTTAGGTTCTTACCTTGGGCGGAGTACTGGTACAACACTTCCTACCACACCAGTATTGGCATGACACCCTTTCGAGCAGTGTATGGCAGAGACCCTCCTCAAGTGATTAAGTATGAATTACAGCAATCTGATCCACCTACCTTGCAGGATTTACTCTGTGAGCGTGATGCTATTTAGTGGGAGCTAAGGATCTTGAGTGGGGGTGATGAAATCAGAACCTTCTCCCGGAATTTCATTATCAATCTAAGTGCATAGTTCTAAATTTTCATTTCCTTTTTTAATCCCTAAAATCCAAACTCTTACACTTTAGTCATATTCTAAACAATTTCAATCTTTCCTTCTAAAAAATGACCTTTCCTTCTCTATTAAAAACAATTTCAATCTTTCTCAAATGGCTTCAAGTTCTGCTATTGAAACTTTAGTTGTTGGTGCTCTCACTGCCCCTCTGCAATTGCACCACCACCACACCAGGAAAAACTACCAAAAAATGCTCCTGGTAACTGAACTCATATATCATAGAAACATGACATTGCTGATCCTGATAATCCAAGAAAAATCCAATGCAAGTATTTTCAAAAAAAGGTAACTGGAGGTGTCTACGGGCTAAAGCATCACTTGGATGGAACTCAAAAAGATGTTGAAGCATGTAAGGCTGTCCCAGATGAAATCAAGAGAGAAATATTGCAAGTTTGTTCAAGATGGCAAGAAAATTTGATCAAAAAATAGAGGCAATGGTGGAGTAAGAGAAGTCAGAGGTGGGTTCAAAAATAATGATCAGTAACAACTCTAGAAACATATTTAAGAAAAGATGTTTCACCTCACAACCTAGCATCAATGCAGTTCTAAAGAAGGGTTTAATAGATGATGCATTTCAAGCAATTGCAAGGTTTTATTTACAGTTGTGTCATACCATTCAATGTAGCAAGAAGTGAGGAGTTCACTATCATGTGTGATATGATTTTAAGATATGGTAATGGATTCAAACCACCATCTTATCATGACTTGAGAATTAAGTTGTTAAAGAAGTGAAGTTGACACAAGAAGCTTTGGAAGAACATAGAAAGGAATGGAGGAACATGAGTTGCACCATACAAAAAGAAGGAACCATTTGAAACAAAAAATGATGAATGGTGTTGTATTTGTCGTGGCTAATTCAAGATTGTCCAAAAAAAAGAAAGGGAGAAGACCATTTGAGATAGAGTTTGATGACCTTAGGTCTGATGATGATTGACTTATGGATGAAGATGGTGGCATTGAAATTTCAAATGAAGATTTTGTTCAAATGAATCAAGAACAAATTCAAGAGGATGATATTCTTGTTCATGATTTGGAAGATGAACATGACGGAGGGAGAGATGAAAATGAATTTGAGGATGACTTTGAAGATGAAAATCAGGATGAAGGAGATAATGGAGAAGAAAATGATGATCCATTGAGTCATTATGACCAACTCCAACATGAATTGTTTGGAAATTGAGTGAACTTTCATTAGGGTTTTTGAGAAGTTTTCGATTGTTATTTGCTACTGTTTTGAATGTTGTGTTGTTTTGAATTGTTTTGAGTTAGTTTCAATTAATATTATCTATGAAATTTCAATTTTTTAAAGTAATTTTAGTGTTATTTGATTTGTTTTATATTATATTGTGTCATACAAATATTATTAATTTATATGCAAAATATATATGAATTTTAAAATTTGGTAGGATCTTTCGATCCGTGTTATTACGATTCCTCGACTCACAAACTAATTACTCCAACCCGATCTTGTGTAGGATCTCGAGTCTAACTATTATGCTTATAACTTTGTTCTATGACAATCAATCCGCAGTTCAAATCGCGAATAACCTAGTATTTTACAAATATAAAATACATATCGAAATGGACTGACTCATAGTCCGTGATAAAATTCAGACAAACTTTATTCATCTTATGTCTATTCACTCTTCAAAGCAAGTAGTCGATAATTCACAAAATCATCTTATGCCTATTCACTCTTCAAATAGTTAATATATTCACAAAATCACTTCACATTGGACATTTCTCCTCACTTTCTGTCAAACTAAGAATGACCAACATAGATTCCGATTGTCTTGCCTTGATATCTATGGGATCCACATGTATTTCTGTTAACAATAATAGCTTAAGGCCTTATTCTTATAGGAGTTAGTTGCATTAACTAACCACCTGATTAATAGGGAGATTAGTTATTTTATTATTGTATATCTATTGAGTTAACAGGTCTCTTGTAAATACAATTTGAATTAATATAATTTTTCTTTTATTTTCTTTTTGCTTATGCTGTTTCTTATCATGTCTAGGTACATGATTCAAGAGTTTCACTCAAAAATATATATATATATTGCAAGTATTAGAGACAATGTCTTGTTTGGGACATAAAATGCATGCAATGATATGTTTGGTGGCCCATCTTTTTCTGCTTTATTCTTTCCCTTTGATTCCAAAAGAATAGACCCATCACACCCCTTCATAAATTACCAACCATATTAATCATATAATGTGATTCATATTAGTGGCTAGAAAAAGTAGCATGCATAACCTTATGAAGCAAAGCAGATGGAACTGTTTTGTCATTCATGGTTGCTTTGTGTACTGCACCAGCTACAATGGAGTCTACATGAGGGCATGTATGCTTATAGTAATTCACACTTAGATCACTTGCTAGACAAGTTAAGGGCACCATCATCATCAAGATCATCACAATGCCAATAGCTGAAGCCATGTTTCAATTCAAAATTATGAGAATAAAATAAATAAACTTAATTAATCTGTTTATGATATGATATGTAGCAATAATCACATCAAGGCCAATAGCATTTTTCCCGTAGGTAAGAATAATCAGCAGGTGGTCATAAGAACTTGGTAACGAGAAAGACAAGATAACTGTCTTATATTCGTTATCAACCTTCACTCCAGGTCTAACTAAATGGGTGATTATATTGTTAAAGATATTGACATGTTGCAAATCAGATTCTTCCTACATCTTCGGACTGTATAGTCGTTGTTTCCTGAACAATTTATCCATCAACATCTTTGATATATATTGACTCTCCAATTTATCCTAAACTTTCTTCGGAATCATGAGGTCCAAGATATGATACATTACTTCATATGCAACACATAGACGAATCAATATTACAATCTTATCCTTCATCTTTGTTGAGTCAACAGATCCTTAACCTTTATTTATCATAACCCAAATTTATTTGTCCAGTCTAATCTTATTACTTTGAATTTCACACTAAGGTTAATCATCATCGGATACTAATTATTAGAACAACAACCAGGATAGAAGATTAAAGATAAACGAAAGAAAAAGACAATAGACACAATCGAAATGTTTGATGTTTACAACACTACATAAATCGAAACTTTTCCAATCAAACAATTCAACTACAAGGATAATACTTGAGAAAATACAAAGTACAACAATAGAACTACTGGTATTACAATATTACATTTTGTAGTCTAAATTATATAAAGTTGAAAAATGCTTACTAATTTCTATATTCCAAATAATAAAGTGATGAATTTTCATAAGAATGAATAACAATCCATGCAAGCCAGAGAGGTATGGCGGGCTGCTCCAGTAATAAAATGAAAAAGCACGCCTCAGCATTAAGATAATTAACCTTGTTTTTAAGGTTAATTAAAACTGGAGCTTACTGGAGAAAGTTTGGCCAAATTCCCAATTGGAAGGAACAATATTTTCGAAAGTTCTTGTTACACCATCTGTGGTTTTGACCTGGAACGACAAAGGTTGGCCATTCAAATAAGAGTTGGATTGCCAATTTGCACCCCAATTTCTTGACATAGGCATCCAACCTGTTTTCGATCCTTTAATCATAACCGATTCGATTGATCCAGCACCCCCAAGATTGCTAATCAACACTAACTCAAAGTAGTCTCTCCCATTCACACTGAATCTTACTCCTCCATGCTTTTTGCAAGGCACCCTGCTCAAAAATAAATTAACATTTTTATTTGTTTTTAAATGATATAATTCATATGTTACTATATTATAAAAATATATTACATGACAGAGTGTATCACATTATTATGCTACTAAGAGAGTATTATATTATATTAAATCAGTTGATAATTGTGCAGAGACATCATATACTGAGACGCGGATCCAATCATTACTTATAATGTATAGGACAAGTTCATTAAAATTCTCTAACCTTTGGAATAAGACAGGGATGATTCCTCCTCTGTAGATACCAATTTTTTGCCAAGCAGGTTGAGCCATATCAAAATGTTTGAGAGGTGGATTGCACCATCCTCCATCGTCATTGGGTAGATCATAATTAGGAGGACAGAAATTTGTGGCGGTTACGGTGATAGATCTTCCTTTTATGCACCATCTTGGGTCTGTAAGATAGTCACAAATTAATTTATAGCATTCTCCACAAGATGCACCGTCATTAAACAAAGCTGTACTTAATGCAGCAGTTCTTGTCCCGTATCCAGTTGAATATAAATCTCCGTAACCACAAGCTCCTCCTACATCACACACATCATAAAATTTCAATCATAACTAACTTGTAACTAACTACCTTAAACAATGTTCAATTAGGTACATGTTTGTTATCACAGCATTTTGTCAGAATCTCGTGAGTTATAGCGACTTTGTGGAAACTAGTTTGACTCATCGTGATACTAACAAATCAAATGTGATATTAAACATGCAATAAGAATGATGAAAATTGTATTGGAAATCTATAAAAGGTGGCTTACCCATAGTGCCTGAGGCATCACTGCCCCCATAAAAAGTGGCATGACCTTTGGTCCATGCAGAAGGTGAAAAGGCATAGGAAACATGTGTGAAACAACATAATCCAATGAGAGAAACCAAGATTAATAAAAGTTTGGTCATTTTGGTTTGTTGAATGTTGAAAACCCCAAGTGAAGAATTGTATTTACAATATTGTCATTTTTATGCACAAAAGGTTTGTGTATAAATAAGGATTAGAGTGAGTAAGGTAAGGATGGGACATGTGAGGTACTGTGAGATGAGATAGCTAAGAAATGATTATTTTTATGAAATTGATTGAATTTAATGTGTGCAAGTGCATACGGTTTTGAGGGTAATTCAATTATTCCCATGTTCTCTTCGGACTTTGTCTTACAACCCACATGCTCATTCCAACGTAAGAGGCGTGAATGAATCAAATCCCACAACTCCATTTGGTCTCTATATTCTTTTCTCCTCCATATTTTCCTTATTCAAGATCCCAATGTTTACTTATTACTAATTATTCAATTTTTTTTGTTATAAAACTAATTTTTTTAATCTTATTATGCATATCTATTAAACTAATTTTGTTATAAAACTAATTTTATATTATAGGCTTTTGATATTCACGTCAGAATTGCTCTGATACATTTTTGGTCCTATATGGATCACTTGTGAATAAAACGACAGAGAATAGTTTTATGAAATGGAACAAGCGGCATAGATTGTCACATGGAAATGCATGGCAATGTCGTTTTTGATAAGCTACATCCACATGTCTCATAATACCAATATACATTGTCAGTTGTCTCTTAGCAAGCAACTATTAAATAATCACCGATCAAAATTATTCAATATGAAATATCAGATCCAACAAAATATAGATTCATACATGTCACTAGCTCACCAAATTGAACACTCAAAATTCATGCTTAACCGTGTATAGTTACGTAATAGTTCACCAAATTGAGTATTTAAAATTCATTCTTAATCCTATTTGTAGTATTGGATGGAATAGATTGGAGTGATAAATAAATCAAATTTCATTGTTTGTACTTGTAAATAAATAATGGATGAAATGAAACGTGAAAGGAGTCTATTTTCATCTAATTTCATTCAATCGTCTATTTTTTATTTTTTTTCAATTTGAAGCCTAATTTGAAGTGTATGCAAAAAACTATTAAATAAAATATATAAACAAGAATGAAATCTTCCACACAATTTGAAGTGTATGCAAAAAACTATTAAATAAAATATATAAACAAGAATGAAATCTTCCACACAATTTGAAGTGTATGAAAAATATATAAATAATAGAATGAAATTGCATCAATCCAAACAATAATGTTTAAGCTTGATTTAAAGGATCCCTTCTAGGCCATTATAAATTATAGCACCCACAAGCAAGTTCACCATTGGAGTAAATTCTTTTTCCACATTCAAATTTTACAACTAAATCACTGATATGGTTTTAAATCATTTTCAGAACCTAAGATTAATTTCTGAACAAGACAAACCATAGCTAACAATAGTTGAAAGCAAACAGTGAATATTTCAGGGATCTTCCATCAAAAAGGTAAATACGCATTACAAAAAGGTGATATTGAATGGAAGTTCTCCACAGTATAATTATGAGCCAAGGTAGCAAATGGAGATCCTGACAATAATTGTTAAGATAAAAAGAATATAATCATATCAGAAGTCGTCATCATCATCTTCCTCTTCAATATGCTTTGCCAGTTCTTGCTCTTGTTGTTGCCTCTCTCTGCGCTTCTCGGCTATTTCCTTTTCCTTATGTGTGTTTTTTGGAAAACGCAGTGCTTGAACAGCCTCATTGTGCATGTTAAGACAGAAGGCAATCCGAGAATTAAAGGCCAACTGAGGCTCATTTGTAGAGTAAATATCTCCAGTTTCCTTGGACAACATCCATTTATTAGCATGATCCAATGTTGCATCAATTGCTCCATCACGGATAGCCTTTGATATAATGCTTTCTGCATCAGCAATGGGATCTGCAGAGCTCAACCTCAACTTCTGAGCTACATCAGCCAGCGAGATGCGAGAATATGATATACTGATGTTGCGCAAACCAGTCCTAATGACATTATGACGCAATCGAACGATCAAATTATTGGTTCCGTCTGTCTTGAAAGTGGTAGCATACTTCTCTGCAACATTCCGAAACAGCTCTAAATCACCAATCCTGACAGCCTGAAATTTCATTAAATATACAAAAATTAGCATTTGGAAGAGACCTCAATCAAATGAAAAATTGTGGATTAAGATTTAGAAACTGAATAAATTAGCTTCTTTCATATTTCACAACAAATCAGTCAGATTTCTTAATTCAAGGTTTTTGTTCATAATATTTTGATTTGATACAACTCTGAAAATAAAGTTTAATGATTGCATGTAGAGAGTATTCAAAAGTCAACAGTATTTAAGTATGAAATGATGCTTGTCTATTAGCTTCTCTCATGTTTCAAAATAAATCAATCAGATTAACTCAATTTGATGTTTTGTTAACAAAAACTGGCTTTGATATAACAAACTCTTCAATAAAGTGTGACAACTGCAATTTAGAGAGTAATACAAAATTTCTATGCATTTTCTATTTTGTTATTAGAAAATAAATACAGGAGGAAAAGTGAATCACAAATCAACCTGCTGGGCTATCATCCCAAACTTAATATTTATTCAAAGCCTAATGCACTTTCAATAATAGATTGACTAGAACATTCTGTCCCTGTAGTTTCAGCTTATTCTGAAATAACAAGATTTGGAGTCAGATTAAATTTCGTTCTAATTGAGTAGTACTTTCAACAGTCTATGGGAGTGTGTGTATGTTTCAAATGGCACATGGTCTGGTGAGGCTAAATGACAAAGGAACTACTGAGTTTATTTTAACAGGACAACATTTGTTTACATCAATGAACGTTCTCCCCCAATAACTTCCTAGAAACTCAGATGAAAAATAAACTTTTTTTTGTAAAAAAGTATCCATGCGTCCATACTCTTCATTGTCGGCTTTACTTCCAACTGAGCATGACTATGCCTTTTCTTTCAGTTAAATCTAGCTGAAAGCAGCGCCAAAACTTGGTTCACAATTTTTCTATTTCGGTCAATGTATAATTTCAATGCCAATAGAGAGAAACATAATGCTAGGGCGTTTCATCACCAAAGAGATAATAGAGCAGAAATAAAGAAGAAAAAAACTGTAGGAACTATATCAAAATAGATGAAACTAAAGAACTATGTTTATAATCAAACCAATAAAAAAGAAGTTCAGTTTTATTCCGGACCTTGTAAAATTAAGCATAGTGGATAACATAAACTTACATTGGTAAGTTCAAAGTAAGGCCTCAAAGCTTTCTCCATTCCTTTCTGCACAAAGATAGTCCTCTCAGGAATTTCTCCCAACAGTAAACGGACTATAATGGCCCACTTGTTACACTGAATTCGAAAACCCTGTGCTGCAACTGGTGCTTTACGAGCAGCCTGCAGGAGAGACTCCTTGGCATCGGTATACTCCAACTGAATAGTCCGAATTTTCCCAAGGTAGAAGAGATAGCGACAAAACTAAAACAGATGCGACAGTTGCAGACATGTCAAGAAAAGATGAATCAAATGTGGATTTTCAACAAAAACTAATGAGACGAGATAAAAAACTAAAATGTAGAATTATCAAGAAAGTTCAATACAAGGGTATCATTTCAAACAGTCCTTAGACTTTAACAGCGGTAAGAGAAGGTGGAAACTGCATTCACCAAAGGTAAAAATATCTCTTGACACATAGAATAACTGAATACCTGCTGGTTTGAATGTGCCTCAAATCGCGGAGCCTTAGACCTCAGCTTCTCTGCCTGATCATATAGGTTGTAGTGGAGGTAATTACGAAGTAACAGATTAAGAAGTGTTTCCTGCATCACATCACTATGTAAGTACATGATCCATAGCCTTTATAAAAGGATCCATAGCCTTTATAAAATGAACCACAGAGCAATTCAAAACCAACCTGACCAAGTTCATCATGGCGCAGGGTAGCAATCCTGTGCAACTGAAAGAGGTTTCTGAAAATAAACATGCCATTTGATTAGAAAGATTTCAAACCCCGCTCAGTTGGAAATCTCACTAACTGTTGCATCAAACACATATGTATATGCATCTGTCTCTGAATTCATTTGTTCTTAAACTACATATACATACACCTAACTTACCCACGAATTTCAGCAAGATCTCCAGTAAGCTCATAGCTATATGAGTAATAAAAGTACAGTCTTGAGGCTATAACATCAACAGTTCTTCTATTCAAGTTCTTGAGCCGGTCAATGCTAGCTGAGGAACAAGCTTTGGCCTAAAATGAACAATTAAAGTAACCTCAGCATATACTCAACCATCAGTGGTCAATTAACATAGTAACATATTTGATAACAGTATATATTCTAACCTCTTCATATCGTTTCTGATCAATAAGAAAAAGAAGCACAAGGAAGTAACAGTAGATTTCAAGCTCAGGCAACAAGTGTTTGGCTGGGGTTTGAATAGCTGCAGATGTTGAAGAATCCACTTCCATCTCATGATCATCATCCTATACACCCAATGAAAAAGAATATCGCTTGAAGACCAAACCATAAACTATAAAATAAAATGGCTCTATTAAAAGTCAGTGAACAACACATGCAATAAAATATAAAGTAGTATAAACTAGAGTAAAAATGTATCTCAGCTCTAAAGCTGCAGATGCTTATAAGTTGCTTATGAACACTTCTCTAACAAAATTTAAAATCAAATCAAACTGTTTGCAAAGAAGCTATAAGTTTTTTCAGCTTATTGGCATGTATTTAAGTTGTTTTCAAAATAAGTTCTCTCACAGTACTGACACTAGTAACACTAGTAGATAAGCTTAATTAAGTCAATCCAAACATACCTAATACATAGTAAAGGTTGAAATCAGAGAAAACGAATTACCTTGGGATTGGAAAGGTAAGAAGATAACCTAGAATGAGACTCAGAAGCTGGAGGAAGAACATGATCGATGAACGATGAGAGAACCGGTGCTGTGAGTTTGGACCTCAAAGCAATTGTAAGGCGCACGGCACGAGAAATTCTGCGAACCTCCTTAGAGTTTGAACCAGTTTCAATGATTGATGCTATTTCCTTCAAATCTGTTAGGTCATGATCCAAAACCAAAACGAAATTTTAGGTTAAACAAAACTAGAGTAGGAATCAACGAGAAAGTGGTTTTGAGTAAGATACTTACGATGCAATGTAGAAGGAATAGCTGTGGAAATGGAGTGAGAAGGTGTAGGATGATCCTTCATCTCTTCGTCTTGAGTCATCTTCTTCTTCGGAAACTTCAACTACTATGGAAGATGCGAGAATTTGAGATTGAGTTTGAGTTGACAAACCCTAACACGGTGGAGTAAGGAATACGACGACGATGTTTGGGGAAATCACAGCGTCTTTTTTCAAACAAAGACTAAACTCAACTACAAACAGCAATTACAACAACTCCACCACTCAATGGGCTTTTTCACTAATTAATGGGCTGTGTCTCTAATTAATTTCGGGTATTACTCATTGCATCCCCCTTGTTATACTTACACACACTCACAAAATTATAAAAATAATCCTATATTATGGATTTTAAAATTCTGACGCATTTGAAATACACAAGATTTCCATAACATTTTCATGAAACACGTCAAATCTGTAACACCCCCCTTTCTATACCCCAAATAAATGCATATAAAACAATTAAGCACATACAAATTATCAGAGTAAAAAGGTTTTATAATAAGGTATAAAAGAAGAATGCCACAATTTCACCAATAAACCACTTTCACTATTTGCTCCATAAAATATGTAACATTTTCAATTTAAGCGGAAGATAAAATCATTTGATCGTTTTTCAAAATATTAATTCACGTACACATAAGCTATCCAATTTAATATATATCATATCAGTTAGATTACAAAACCACATCAGCTGATACACCGCAATGTATCACAAAAGAATGACTGCACTAGTCTAACTACCCGGTGTTACATATCAGAGCAGTAGACTCAAAAGAATGAAGACTATTCTTCACAAAAGGACTCCAGCATCCTAATCTGCAATGCCTCATAGAGCATTATAAAACAGCAGAAGGGTGAGAAATATAACCATAATAATCAAAGCATGAGATTATATATATATAGGTAGTCATATAGCACATATTCACATTTCTCACCACCCTTCATTCTCATAGTCATAAATCATATCACGTTCATATATATATCAACATTATGAACATTCACAAGCACATCCCTTCATGCTTAATTTCACAATCATTCACAAGCACATTTGTACAACAACAATATTATGCAATGTGACTCAACATATTCAATGCAACTCAATGTTATGCGGTACCGACTCTCGTTATCTTTTTTCGGTTTTCACTCTAAACCGGGTCCACCCTTCTAGACCGATAACTCGTTATCATTTTTCGGTTTTCACTCTAAACCGGGTCCACCCTTCTAGACCGATAACAACCAAGCCCGTCCCCTAGGCTTCAAACCCACCCTTCTAGGTTTGGGACAAGCCACTAGTTTCCACGAAACTAACGGACATTGCCTCTTGACTGAATGATGCATGTACAATCAACCAATCACAATAAATGCACTTAAGACCGTTCCCGCGTCTTAATCCCATGCATTCGAATAATTCACCCCTTCGAGAATTTCATCATGATTGCACATACAACATATATCAAACATTTATCATTGTATTCATTTCACACATCATCATATTCAACAACAATGCACACATATCACATATGTTCCCATGCATTCATACAACAATCGCATACATATATGCACCCACAATTCATTAGACGATACACATACATTCCTCATTGTATTCCCATGTATCTCTAATTATCACAACAATCAACATTCACAACTCATCAATTAATACACACATAATCATCATTATGTTCTCATGTATTTTAACCGATTACAATTAATCATTCATACCACAACTCTAGGATTCACGCCCGTAGGCTACCCACAGCACACATTATCACAACATGTCATATCTATATTCATATCATAAGGTATCCACCTATGTGAAACAACCAAACCATCTTCACATGATCAACACAGCAAAAGAGAAATGCTGTCAAATTCGCCTTCATTCGCCTGGCGAACCCTCGCAGCGAACCTTCGCCTGGCCTTCGCCTGGCGAACTCTCTCAGCGAACACTCGCTAGGCTTCGCCTGGCGAAACTCCCCAGCGAGCCCAAGCCAGTAGCTACTGACTTCATTCGCCACCATTCGCCAGCACCTTCGCTGGGCGAACCTTCGCTATCCAACTTCGCCTGGCGAACCCACCAGCGAAGTCTACTGGGACTTAATTATAATTATTCGCCAACATTCGCTAGGCTTCGCCTGGCGAAGCTTCGCCTTCGCTCGCCTGGCGAGAGCCCGCGAACCTGCGCAGAACAGAACCCTATTCTGTTCCACCTCCATAATCCACCATCATCCAACTTCTTACACAACAAAATCAGTACAAACATCATACCCTTATATTACCCGACTATTCTACGGCATTATTTCCAAGTTCCAACCGATTAAATCATCAATCTACCGATTATTCCAACTTTTGCCCTAATTGGAAAGTGATGAAAACTCTACCAAAACCCCAACCCAACATACATAACATCATACAATGATCAAATAGAAACATTTCTCACCCTTACCTCGATTAATCGGAGCTTTGATGTTGGTTCTTGATGATTTCCACTTTTCTTCTTCTTCTCTTCTCTCCTTTCTTCTTCTTTCCTCTTTCTTTCCAAATGTTTTCTATCTTTCTTTTCTTTTCTTTCTCTCTTATATAATTCCTTTATTTTCCTTCCTTCCAATTTCCTTCTCAATTATCTATTAATTCCAATTAATAAAAATTAATTCCAACATTAATAAAAATCCCACTAAATCAATTAATTACTATAATTAATTATTTAATGAAATTTGGGCTGTTACAACTCTCCCCCACTTTAGGAATTTTCGTCCTCGAAAATGTTACCTGATTCAAACAGTTCTGGATAAGACTCTTTCATCCGACTCTCAAGCTCCCAAGTAACATTTCCACCAGCCGATCCTCCCCACGCGACCTTCACTAAAGCGATCTCTTTACCTCGAAGCTGCTTCAATTTCCGATCCTCTATCCGCATAGGTGATGTCTCAACAGTCAGGTTATCTCTCACCTGCACATCATCTACTTGGACTACATGAGACGGATCCGCAATGTATTTCCTCAACTGAGATACATGGAATACGTCATGAAGATTAGCAAGCGACGGTGGTAAAGCCACACGATAGGCCACTTCTCCTATCCTTTGCAAAATCTGATAAGGACCAATGAAACGCGGCGACAACTTGCGCGACTTCAGTGCCCTACCAACACCTGTCATCGGAGTGACTCGAAGAAACACATGATCTCCCTCTTGAAATTCAAGTGCCTTCCTCCTCTTGTCATAATAACTCTTCTGACGACTCTGAGCAACTCTCATTTTCTCTTGAATCATCTTGATCTTATCAGTAGTCTGTTGAACTAACTCGGGTCCAACAACCGAACTCTCTCCGGACTCGAACCAACACAATGGTGTCCTACACCGCCTACCATACAACGCCTCAAATGGTGCCATACCAATACTCGAATGGAAACTGTTGTTGTAGGTAAACTCAATCAAAGGCAAGTAGCTATCCCAAGCTCCTCCTTTTTCCAATACACAAGCTCTCAAAAGATCTTCAAGCGACTGAATCGTCCTCTCCGTCTGACCATCAGTCTGAGGATGATACGCTGAACTCAAACGCAACGTAGTACCCAAAGCACTCTGCAGGCTCTCCCAAAATCTCGAAGTAAACCGCGGATCTCTATCCGAAACAATACTTAACGGAATACCATGCAGACACACAATCCTCTCAATATACAACTTAGCCAACTTCTCCAAAGAGTAATCCATACGCATAGGGATAAAGTGAGCAGATTTAGTCAACCTATCCACGATAACCCAGATAGCCTCAAAATTACTCGGCGTCCTCGGCAAACCCGATACAAAATCCATGGAGATACTATCCCATTTCCACTCAGGAATAAACAACGGCTTCATCAAACCTGATGGCTTCTGATGCTCAATCTTCGACTTCTGGCAAGTCAAACAAGAATACACAAATTCCGCAATATCCTTCTTCATACTAGGCCACCAAAATACTTTCCTCAAATCCTGATACATCTTAGTAGCACCCGGATGAATACTCAATCCGCCACGATGTCCTTCCTCAAGGATACTCTTCTTAAGTTCAACTACATCTAGAACACAAACTCGATCCCGACATCTCATAATCCCATTCTCATCAATCCGAAAATCACCACCTTGGCCTTGGTTGATTAAAGTCAACCGATCAACTAAGCTCAAATCCGATTTCTGTCCTTCTCGAATTTCGTCTAAAACACCACTTGTCAGCTTTAACATACCCAACTTAAATCCAAAAGAAGTTCTCTCACATACCAAACTCAAATCTCGAAATTGCTCAACCAGTTCTAACTCTTTCACCATCAATGCTGACATATGCAATGATTTCCGACTCAATGCATCCGCTACTACATTCGCTTTACCCGGATGGTACTTCAAGCCAAAATCATAATCCTTCAAAAGTTCAAGCCATCTTCTTTGTCTCGCATTCAATTCCTTTTGATCAAAAAGATACCTCAAACTCTTGTGGTCACTAAACACTTCAAATCTTGCGCCAAATAAATAATGCCTCCAAAGTTTCAACACGAACACGACGGCGGCCAACTCTAAGTCATGCGTCGGATAATTCTTCTCATGCACTTTGAGTTGCCTCGAAGCATAAGCCACAACTTGGTTATTCTGCATCAACACACCTCCTAAACCCATCATAGAAGCATCACAATACACAACGAATGGTTCTTCCGGATTTGGCAGAATCAAAACAGGAGCTGTCGTCAACCTTCGCTTAAGTTCTTGAAAACTCGCTTCACACTTGGCATCCCAAACAAAGGCTTGACCTTTCCTAGTCAACTGCGTCAATGGCAATGATAACTTAGCAAATCCTTCGATAAACTTCCGATAATAACCGGCTAAACCAAGAAAACTTCTGATCTCAAAAACTGACTTCGGAGTCTCCCATTGCGACACCGCTTCAACCTTCGACGGATCAACCGCAACACCATTACTCGAGATCACATGACCAAGGAAACTAACTTCCTTCAACCAAAATTCACACTTAGAAAGCTTCGCGAACAACTGCTTCTCTCTCAGCACAGATAACACAAT